CGCTTCGGCAGCACATATACTAGATTTTAAGAGGCAACACACCATAAATACAAACCTCAGAAAGAAAATCTAAGGGAGGAAATGTACTACTATAAAGTCATTTTCTCTCTTGCGGTAGAAAAGACATTTCTTTCTTTATTCATAAATCTAGCCTTTTTCAGAAGTCAAGAACTATTTAGATTATGGTTCCATAAACCAATAAAGGTCATCTATAATACTTTTAGTAATATACGTCAATTTTTCAAAACACTTTGCCAGCACTGAGTAATGTATAGAATTACTGAATCACTATATTATATGCCTAAAACTACCACTGTTTGTTAATTATACTGGAATTTATAAACTTTTAAAATTAATTAAAAAAATTTGCTAGAATTCTGGAAAGAATTATTGCTGTGTTCCTCCCTTATTTAATAGATCCAATCATGCTGTGCTGTTCCACATAAAAGTAACACTATCTGACACTCAAATTTACATCATTAAAATTGTAAATGGCTAAAACATTAACTGAATCAATAAAAATCTCTCTTGACTAACAGAATGCTCTTCAAATTCAAGAAGTAGTTGAGTATTTATCCTACAAAGACACCATTTGTGTATTCTAAGGAACAAAACTTAAGGGTTTCATTATTGTGAGGCTGAGTATACAAACATTGCTTATTCTACCAAATGGCCTTTGGAGCATTCACCTGCTCCATGACTCCAGGAGTCACAAAAAAAAAATCAAGTATTTCAAAAAGCTTTCTGCTAGGGAAAATACTATGTCCCTCTTTTTGCAATGATAGCTTCCTTACACTCTAGAAAATATAAGCACAGAGAAAGGGAATACACTATTAATACTCTATTTAATCTTTTCCTATTAGGGCCACAAATCCTTAACTATTTTATTATGCAATTCTAAAATGTAATTATTTACTTTAATTTTTTAAAAAATTTTAATTGTTGGGAAGCCCCGGTGGCGCAGTGGTTTAGCACTGCCTGCAGCCCGGGTTGTGATCCTAGAGACCCAGGATCAAGTCCCACGTTGGGCTCCCTGCATGGAGCCTGCTTCTCTCTCTGCCTGTGTGTCTGCCTCTCTTTCGCTCTCTCTGAATAAATAAATAAATAAATCTTAAAAAAAAATTTTTTTAATTGTTTAAAAAGTAAAAAAAAAAAAAGACAAATAGAAAGTTAACCAAATTAACTTATTTTTAAGTACATTTCAAAAATAAGTAACTTATTAGTAACAATTTGAAATAAATAGGAAGCAAAATGTTACTTTAAAGTGGCTTAGATTTCTGTTGCATATTTAAGAAATAATATTCAGGAAGGAAGGAAATACAAAATTTGTTTAGCATTCTCATAACTTCATAAACCAGAAGCAAAGTTTACATTAGATAATCTCTGGTAAGTCAACATTTTGTATTAAATTATAAGTACACAGATGCTTTCTGGGCACATGCCTTATTTTTTAGCAATAGATATTTTTCTGTGTTATAGTTTGTCCTGTTCCATTTTATTTTAGCATCCTCTTAAAACTCCAAATTAGGTAGTGTTAACTATTGCATGTCAAGAATTCACCCTGTCTTTAATGATGGCAAAAAACTCTTCAATCCTAGTAAGCTATTAACAAAGCTACTAAGCAACTGGTTCTGACACCACTGCAAACTAGCCATGCAAACTGACCAGACCAGATATCATAGGCCAGTGTCCTCTTGACCTCCAAAATAAGACTTTAAAACTCCATCACACCATTTACTTATTCCACCTACTCATCTACCAAACTCAGATTTTCCCTCATTCATTTCACAACTAGATTTAAACAATCACAGGCACACTTCCTTTTATCATGCTTTGCAGATACTCTGTTTTTTTTGTTGTTGTTGTTGTTGTTGTAACAAACTGAAGGTAGTGGCAACCTTTATACCTGCATGGGTCTCTCTGCCTTTGTCTTATGATAAAAGAAGTATCTATCTCAAACCAATCTTGTTAACTATGCTCTGCTGCCCTACTCACCTTCTAGGAACCATACACTTCTTACACTGGCTCCCTGGGTATCTCATCCATTACCGGGGCTTTAAATGTCATCTATACACTTACATTCCGAAGTTTTATCTACAGTCCAAACTTCTGCTTAGAGTACCAGCTTATACATCCTACTGCCTATCTCATTTCTCCATCTAGATGTCTCACAGGCATCTCAAACTTCATATATCCAAAACTTAACCCAATTTTCTCCTATCTCTACTATTACTAAATAGCACTAACCATCAACCCAGTTGCTCAAACCAGATTCTAGAAGTAATAGATCCTTCTTTTCCCACCATTCCCCACATTTATCAGCAATCCTTTCAGTTTAACTTCCAAAAATCTCCAATTTCCACTACCATGAACCCATTTTGTTTAGGTCACTAGCATCTCTTCCACTGATTACTGCAATAGCCTAACTAGCCTCCTGATTCCATTCAGCACCTTCCACACAACATCCAAGGTGATCCACTTAACACTCATGTCATTCTCCTGATGAAAATAACAGCTTCTAAATGCACTCAAAATCCAAATACCTTATCATAGTCTACAAAGGCCCACACACTATGGCCCATCTACTCCTCTGAATTTATTTTATGCTACTCTTCCGTCTGCTTCAACAACACTTTCCTTCTTTTTTCCAAGAACTAATAAGTATACTCTATCTTGCCTCAGTGGCTTTGCACACACTATTCCACTCTGAATGTCAAATTCTCTTATCTTTCTCAAATTTTAGTTTAAATTTCATATTCCCAGAGAAGTCTTTTTTAGCCACCCTAAGATAAACCTTCCAATTGACCTATGTCCCTCTGTTATTCTCTATTTCAGTACACTGTGATATTGATGATCAAAATTTGCATTCATTGTTTGTTGTTCATGGGAGGGGTGTCTTTCTTCCAAACTAGACTATATACTCTAAAACAAAAACAATGTCTATTTCAGTCACCACTATATTACTGCACCTAGCACAATGCCTGGCATACAATACCTGAAAAATGAATAAATCCTCATATTGAAAAATTTAACGATCCTTCATTACTACCCCAAGAAAATATTGCCCCAACAGGCAAATTATCCTTAAAACATCAAGAAAAATAATATGTAAGATTAATTTAAAAAATCCACTTTGTCTTCAACTTCAGAATTAAAACATGCTTCTATAACAACCAGAAGCACAACAGAGATTTCCCCTAGATGTGGAGAAATCAAACTGAATTGACTTCCTCTTCTTGCTCACATCTTCTAAAAAGGATGAATTACTTTGTCCAAAGCAATCCCTTTTATGCAAAATGATTATATTCCAAAAATTCATTTTTTGGTTTGAAAGTTCAGATTTGCCACAAAGAAATATCATAAACAACAGTTAGGTTCCAAATCAGACTGCTGCACAAATCTAAAATGACCCAAAGCATATTACTAACAATATTATATCATACTAAACAGATATCACAAGGTTTTTTGGAAAATATATGGTCAGTGCTTCAACACAAGATGTAAGGAAAACTGCTAGCAATGGCACCTGCAGAGTGTGGGTTAGAGAGGGAAGAACGAGAACATTGTTATTAAGTTGTCAGGGAGACAAGGGCTTCCATCTAACTAACGGCACTGGGCATCTCCCTAGTCCTCTTTCCGCAACTCCAGGAACTAACGTACCTTCTTCCTCTTTCCCAGCTGTAATTTACTGTGTTAAGGCAAGGTTTCTTACATCTACTAAGCTACCAACAGTAGAAGCTTTTGTTTCTGCTTTCCTCTCTAATTGCTAAAACAAATACACAACTCTTCTAATGTTTCTAATGAGATGTCATTGCCAATAATGTGTAAAGACAAGATCTACAAGTTAATGCTTAAATAGGTTTATTGGTTTAAAAATGATACCTATGATGTTATCTCTAATATTTATTGAAATTTAAAGACAGATCTTTTTTTTTTTTTTTTAAGGATAGCAGATCTTAATTTCACCATTCAATCACATATTCTTTTGTCCTGAAGAACTCCTTACTCTCACCCCTTTAGGTCTCCTTCCTCTCAAACTTTTAATTTCAGAGGTAAGGATGCTGAAGATCCCCTTCCCTTAATTTTAGGTGTGCCTTCTTGTTCTGGTCTCTTTAATTACTCAGATCTTCAAAAAGGGAAAGGGGAATTAAATGAAGACTGTTATTCTTCAGGTACACAATCAATAAATTAATTCATAAACATTTTCCAAGTACCTACCATTTGCCACACTACACTTGGCCACTGGAATATAAAATTAGCAAGTAAGAACTCCCATCCAAGAGACATACATAGTCCAAGGGACACAGACAAGTAAAATGAGCTAAAAAGATAAAAGAACAAAATGCTACAGAAGCAACCAACTTTAATGTCAAAGAGGAATGAGGTTTTGAAGAAGAGATGATATTCTACCCATCTTATGAGATGTGGGACTTCCAACATGTGCTAAGAGGAACAACCCTATAAAACAATGGAGTCTCCAAATCAGATTGTGATGGGATTATGGAGAATGAATTAGGAAGAGTCTAGCAACAAGACATTTACTGCAATATTCTGGAAGCAGGACCTGACCTCAGGAAGAAGCTAAAGAAAAAGAGCCAAATATGAGAAACATGTCTAAGAATCACAGGTCTTAACAAGATTGACTATCGATGAGAAAAGATAGCTGGCTGCTTCTCCCCCTGCCTGTGTCTCTGCCTCTCTCTCTCTCTGTGTGTCTCTCATGAATAAATAAATAAAATTAAAAAAAAAAAAAAAAAAAAGAAAAGACAGCTGGAAGGCGAAGAGAAAAGCTAGAAAGCTCCTAGCTTGAGAATTAAACGGACAGTGACAAAAGCACTAAGATTTGTTTATTTAACATTAAATATATGCCAGGAGCACTTAATACACTATCATTTAATTCTCCCAAAAATCCCAAGTAGAGAGGTAGTTCCGGTTCCGGTGAGGGGACTTTCGTTCCTGGTGTTCAGTTGTCGCAGTTGGTGGGTAGTAACTGAGCCAAGATGCTGCGGAATCTGCTGGCTTTTCGCCAGATTGCCCAGACGACCATAAGTACTGCTTCATGCAGGCAGTTTGAAAATAAAGTTCCAGAGAAACAAAAGCTATTTCAGGAGGATAATGGAATACCAGTGCATCTAAAGGATGGAGTAGCTGATGCCTTCCTGTATAGAGCCACTATGATGCTTACAGTTGGTGGAACAGCATATGCCATTATTAGCTAGCTGTGGCTTCTTTTCCCAAGAAGCAGGATTGACTTCAGTTCATCTCAGCAGGCAGCTGGTTCAGTTTCATTCAGCTCTCTATGGACCAGTAATTGATAAACTCAATATTTATTGATTTATACTAATTGCCACCAATAAAGCAGTCTTTACCATGAAAAAAAAAAATCCCAAGTAATAAATACTGTTTAATCCTTGTTTTGGGAGATGAGAAAACCAAAGGACAGAGGAATTATATAACCTGGCCCAAGGTAAAAAAAAAAAAAAAAAAAAAAAAAAGCTAGCATATACAGAAGTGAGAATTTGAATCCAGATTAGTGTGACTTCCGAACTGGCATTTTTGGGATGCCTGGGTGGCTCAGCAGATGAGCTTCTGCCTCCAGCTCAGGGTGTGATCCTGATGTCTGGGATCAAGTCCCACATCAGACTCCCTGCATGGAGCCTGCTTCTCCCTCTGCCTATGTCTCTGCCTTTCTATGTGTCTCTCATGAATAAATAAATAAAATCTTAAAAAAAAATTAGCTTTTTTTTATTTTAAAGATTTTATTTTTTATTTGAGAGAGCACAAGTGATGGGAAGGGCAGAGAGAGAGAGAGAAAGAGAAGCAGATTCCCTGTTGAGCATGGAGCCCAACATGAGGCTCGATATGAGGACCCCGAGATCATGACCAGAGCCAAAGGCAGATGCTTAACTGATTGAGACACCCAGGCACCCTTGAAGTGACATTTTTTTTTTAAGTTTTTATTTTAAACACCTAGTGCTCATCACAAATGTACTCCTTAATCTTCTTTACCTATTTCACCCACTCCACACCCACCTCCCCTCTGGCAACCATCAGTTTGTTCCCTAGAGTTAAGTCTGTTTCTTGAATTGTCTTTCTTTTCCCGCATTGCTCATTTGTTTTGTTTCTTAAATTCCACATGAATGACATTATATGGTATTTGTCTTTCTCTGACTTATTTCACTCAGCATTATAGTCTCTAGATCCATCTATGTTGTTGCAAATGTCAAGATTTTTTATGCTTTTTTACAGCTGAATATTATTACATTGTGTGTAATATATACACACATATATATCTCACATCTTCTTTATACATCCATCAATCCATCAATTGATGGACACTTGGGCTGCTTCCATATCCTGGCTATTGTAAATAGTACTGCTATAAACACAGGGATGCATACATCCCTCTGAATTCATATTTTTGTATTCTTTGGGTAAATAGTGACATTCTTAAATACCACTCCATTAACCAAGATAAAGTTATCAGAAGAGAAGCAGGTTTGGATATGTTAAATTGAAGACAAAGGACTAATGTTAAGATTCATTCACATTTCACAGTAAAATCCTGATGACCATCCTACACATTTTATATAAGAAATATGTATTAGGAGTAAGACAGAGTAGACATCTACAGGGAGATAAAGAAATTATTACATACAGTGCAGGGGTCCCTAGGTGGCAGAGTTGCTTAAGCAGCCAACTCTTGGTATCAGCTCAGGCTGTGATCTCAGGGTCTTGAGACCCATGTTGGCTCTACACTCAGTGCAGAGTCTGCTTAAGACTCTTTCTCCCTCTCCCTTTGCCCCTCCTTCTGCATGCTCGCTCTCTCTTAAAAAAATAAATAAATAAAATAAATAAATACACACACACACACACACACACACACACAACCAAAACAAGAACGGGGTCCCTGAGTGGCTCAGTTGGCTAAGCATCTGACTTCAGCTCATGCCATGATTTCCGGGTCCTGGGATCTAGCCTGTGCTCAGCAGGGAGTCTGCTTCTCCCTCTGCTCCTGCCACCTACTCATTCTCTCTCTCTCAAATAAATAGCTTAAATTAAAAACCCTTCAGTGGAAACACCAGGTCTTGCCAGAGCGAACAATGAGAAGTGAATTATGCTTCACTTGATGATTTTATTTCTTCCCTTCCCTTCCTTAGCACCTGCCTTTCCTGCCTCAGAGTTAAGTGACCTATACTGGGAAGAGCACTATTATGTGGTAGATCTCAAAAAATATTTGTTGTTGTTGTTAAGGAATGTTTTAAAAGACTTTATTTGAGACAGAGAGAGTGTGCACACACAAGCCACAGAAGAGGCAGAGAGAAGAGAAAAAGAAGCAGATTCCCTGCTGAGGAAGGAGCCCAATGTGGAGCTCAATCCCAGGACCCTGAGATCATGACCCGAGCTGAAGGCAGATACTTAACTGAATGAGCCACCCAGGCACCTCGATTTTTTTAAGGTAGGTTCAATGCCAAATGTGAGGCTTGAACTCACAACCCTGAGATCAAGAGTTATAAGCTCCATGAATTAATCCAGCCAGGGTGCCCTGATTTCAAGAAATATCAACGGCAAAGGGCTGCAGCAGAGAGTAATATACTGGTGAGAGTTTCAACAAACTTTCCATTAAGTCTGACTTCACCAGATCTTACTGCAACATGTTTAATCTGTTCCTTTCCCCCACCAGTATCACAGTATCACAGGGATGCTATCAGGTGTCTGTAAAGTAGGACCTGAAAATGTTCTTAGAAATCAACCCCATCTAGGGACTCCTGGGTGGCTCAGTGGTTGAGTATCTGCCTTCAGCTCAGGGTGTGATCCCGGGGTTCTGGGATCAAGTCCCACATTAGGCTCCCCACAGGGAGCCTGCTTCTCCTCTGCCTATGTCTCTGCCTCTCTGTGTGTCTGTCATAAATAAGAAGAAAGAAAAGAAAAGAAAAGAAAAGAAAAGAAAAGAAAAGAAAAGAAAAGAAAAGAAAAGAGAAAAAGAAAAGAAACGAAACTCAGTCTAAATTCTTCCTATAGATAAGGAAATCAGGTCCATTGGGGTTAGTGGTATGCTTGAGCCCCAACAATTCCTCAGTGGCAGAGCTGAGATTAAAATTCAGTTCTCACGGATACCTGAAATGTTAACTGAATCGATAGCATGAAAAAAATGGGTTCACAGACTAAATTTATGTTCATTCAGCTCTGCCCAAAGTAAACATGCTTCGCAGGCACAGAAAAACCTTGTCCACCAAAGAGACTGCTATTTCATTAGGATCTCCAAGAGCTACACTGAAATACTCAAACGATTCCATTTCTTTGTTTTCATACTATCCATATACTTGAATAGCAATTTATTGATATATAATGGACCTCATCCCTACCATACACTTACCAGTTCATTACCAAGAAGTTAATCAATTCAAGATCTATACTAAGGGAGACGCCTGGGTGGCTCAGTGGTTGAGCTTCTGCCTGCGGTTCAGGGCGTGATCCCAGACTCCAGGATTCATAATGAGTCCCACACTGGGCTCCTTACAGCCTGCTTCTCCCTCTGCCTCTCTCTCTCTCTGTGTTTCTCATGAATAAATAAATCTTTAAAAAAAAAAAATATATATATATATACACACACACACACACACACACACACAAAGGAAGCTAAGAAATTATACCAGAAATTTATGAACTAGACCATGGAAACTATAATTCAAGTGAAGGAGGGGCTGGTCTTAGGAGGTCCTGCCTAGAACCAGCCAAAATTACACAAGTCTTTCATCATCAAGTCATTCTCCCAACAACAAATGTGAATGAAGAAATATTTAAACAATGCATGTCTTTAACTGATAATAGCAACTACAAGCATACCTCACTTCATTGTGCTTCGCTTTACTGCATTTTTTATAAATTGAAAGTATATGGTAACCTTGTGCCAAGCAAGTCTATCTGTGTCATTTTCCAACAGCATTTGCTCACTTTCTTCCTCTGTGTCACATTTTGGAAATTTTTGCATTATTTCAAACCTTCTCATTATATTTGTTATGGTGATCAGTGAGTGACCTTTGATGTTACTATTGTATAATTATTTTGGATACCACAAACCACGCCCATATGATGGCAAACTTAATTGATAAATATGGCTGGCGTGTGTTCTAACTGCTGGCTGGGCATTACCCCATCTCTCTCCCATTTCTTAGGCCTCCCTATTTCTTCAGACAAAATAATATTAAAATTAGGCCAATTAATAACTCTATTATGGCTTCTACATGTTCAAGTGAAAGGAAAAGTTGCACATCTCTCACTTTAAATCAAAAGCCTAGTGTTGAAAACTGAGATAGGCTGAAAGCTAGGCCTCTTACACCAACTTGTAACGCAGAGGAAAAGTTCTTGAAAGAAAAGGGCTAGTCCAGTGAACACAGGAATGATGAGAAAACAAAACAGCTTTACTGCTAATATGAAGAAAGTTTTAATGGTCTGGATAGAAGATCAAACCAACCACAACATTCCCTTAAGCCAAAACCTAATCCAGAGCAAGACCCTAACTCTTCTATTCTAAGAAGGTTGAGAGAGGTGAGGAAAGCTGCTGAAAAGTCTGAAACCAGCAGAGGCTGGTTCATGAGGTTTAGGAAAGAAGCTATCTCCATAGCATAAAGTACAAAGTGAAGCAGCAAGTTCTAATGTAGAAGCTGTAGCGAATTACTCAGGAGATCTAGCCAAGATCATTAATGAAGGTAGCTACACTAAACAAATATAGCCAAAACAGCCTTTGTATTAAAAGATGCCTTCTACAACTGCCATAGCTATAGAGAAGCCAATGCCTGGATTCAAAGCTTCAAAGGAGGGATCCCTGGGTGGCTCAGCGGTTTAGCGCCTGCCTTTGGCCCAGGGCGTGATCCTGGAGTCCCAGGATCGAGTCCCACATCGGGCTCCCTGCATGGAGCCTGCTTCACCCTCTGCCTGTGTCTCTGCCTCTCTCCCTCTCTGTGTCTTTCATGAATAAAATAAAATCTTAAAAACAAAACAAAGCTTCAAAGGACAGTCTGTCTTGTTAGGAGCTAATGCAGCTGGTGACTTGAAGCTGAAGCCAATGCTTACTTGATTACTCCAAGAAATCCTAGGGCCCTTAAGAATTACTCTACTCTGCCTGTGTTCTATAAATGGAAAAACAGAGCCTGGAGGATAGCTCTCTATTTACAATGTGGTTTAATGAATATTTTAAGCCCACTGTCTTTCTGAGTTT